AAGAAGAAAAAAACACACACACACACAGTGACCTTACGCACTGCTTTTGACGATTTGCCACCAGGTACCGTTGTTTTGATTGCATAAATGTAATGAAGCAACAACTCTTTCATTTTCACAGCCGCGAAGCTCGAGTTTGGTCTTGTGTATTGTCGTTTCGCCTTACCCGTCCCAGTCACTGTCGCAAATGGATCCTCAAAACATTACCCTCGGCAATGCTCTGGAGGCCACCATCGATTTGTACATCAGGGAAATCCCCCAGCACATCCGGGTCGGGCCCATGCCTGCAGGAACAGTAACGCCACTCCGATTTCCTCTTCGCGAACTCAATCCATCGGCACAGCAGATGAAGCACTTCTTTGACATCATCCATGACCACGAAGACCGCATTTCCTATGATGCATTGGGCCCTATCATCAGGGACAAGGCGTGGTCGGAGCTTCCTCCTCCTTTTGGTCTCCAAAAGGATCTAGGCGTGAAGTTCTTGATGCAATTCTTCATTGTGCCCCAGAACAATGGAAAGCACTGTATCATCAAGCACAATTTTATCCCAAACCACAAGGTGAAGGCTTCACTCATTCTCGAATCAGGCTATGGCACCTTGAAGGAGATCATGTGGGGCACCAACGCCAAAAACACCAAGAAGGCTCTACAGTTCATGTTGGAGCAGCTTGGAGGCGTTCAATTTCGTCTATTCACTTTGACTCCGGCCCTCAAGAAGGTTGCTAAACCTGTCCCAGAGAAATCCGAAGAGGATTTAGACAAAGGTTTCGAGTACATTCGTCTCCACGGTGAAAGGGACAGAGGTGATCTTAAACAACTACTTTGGATTCAGAAGGCTATCACAGGAGATACACCCATCAAAGGCTGGCGAGATGGCCTCGTGCAACGCTGTCTTGACAGTCTAGCAACTGACGCCACTATGTCTCGATTAGTGACGCGGTATGACCTCACACTTGCGGACTTTGAGGAGGAAATCCAGTCTATGTTGCAGAGCATTGTCCCGTACTTGCGGGAGCACTCCCTATGGCTACTTGGGGAACCAGGGAAAGGCAAAACTCCTTTGGGTCGTGTCATAGCAATGATGTTCAGCAGGTTCCATGGTGGAACGGGGAGCTACCGAAGCGGTAGCGACTTCGACTATTTCAGAGGTTGCCCTGTTTCCACACAGGTTCCGGCCATCTACGATGATGGTGACATCGGTGCTGAACCCATCAAAAAGAAGAAGGCCTTCTCTGATGTCTCTGACACTGAGGCTCTTACGAAGGAAAGATGGACCGCTGCCAAATTCGTGCAAAATCAACTTCGCATCGTCATAGATAACTCCTATGACCCACTCCAAGAGCCCTCCATGCCGACTGACCTTAATCCGACCATCTCCCACGAGAGCTTCATGAAAATGATTCGTCCAGCGCTGGGTTCCTTATCTTACTTATAGATCTTTCTTGTGTGGATTATCCTATTTATGTTTCATTACCCACGTATCTCAGGCGACATCACGGATGTGGACAAGATGGCCATCTTAAAGCGCTCCGTGATTGTTGTCATTTCGAAGACGGCAATTTACTGGCGTTTCCCTAGCCCACTCGAGAAACAGGTGAAGTGCATGAGTTGGCATCTTCCTGACATAGTGAAGGCTTCTGCAAAGCCTATTATCGCAAACTACAAGAAGCAAGGGCCACCTCCGTCCAATCATGAGGAACGAGTCCTTTGGGAGAATGCTTGGCTAGAGGAGGCTCTTCGTCAGCATGATCGTCCACACGCCCCTGCTGTAGCTCCTCATGTCGCAGCTCCTCCGCAAGTACGAGTCAAACGAGAACGTATCGCTTTTGCTAGAGCTCTCACTGCCCAGACCCTGCGCGATCCCATCAACCTAGATTCCCCATCGCCATCTCCGAAGAGACATCGAGGTGAGCCTGCATCAGGTGAACCCGCATCTGCATCAGTTCCGGCTTCTTCGATTCCGAATCCTGAGCTGCCCAACACGCGCGCCGTCTCACAAGAAGATGATGTTGATGATGTCATTCCCGCGGTCGGTGCATGCCCCGAGTTGTCCTTGTCGCAAGAACTCGAGAACATCATGGATGAGGATGGTATGGACGTGGCTTCTCCTGAGCGCGATGAGTAGATAGTATACTGAATGCTACTTAGCAACACGCGGTTTTGAGTGCCATACTATGTTATGATGGTTTCTGAATCTTGGAAAGTATTTTTTGAAAAGTTTAGTCCTAAACATTGTAGGTGTTATGGTTACGGAGCACTCGCGTGCAGGAGCATCTTGATAAGAGTTTCTCCTCTTACGAGGTACCGAATGCTACTTAGCAACACGCGGTTTTGAGTGCCACACAATGTTATGATGTTTTCTGAATCGTGGAAACTATTTTTTGAAAAGTTTAGTCCTAAACATTGTAGGTGTTATGGTTAGGGAGCACTCGCGTGCACGAGCATCTTGACATCAGTTTCTCCTCTTACGAGCTTACCGCCTTGCCCACGAGACAAAAATCAGCGCCTTCTACAAGAAGCCACATGCAAGTCATGTCATTTATCTTGACTCGTGGCTTTCTGCAAGCATTGTTATATGTAATCACGCGAACTCTCCTCAAGCACTTACGTAGTGCGGGTGTTGTTCTTGTAGGTTGTATAGTTGCCCTGTGAATAGAAACATGCCCAAAAAAGTGATGAAAGCCATGAAGCAGATTTGGCAGGAACCCAAACGAGGCAAACGACGTGTTCAGCGAAGACCAGCAGGGAAAAAATACGTCAAGGTTCCCTACGTACGACATGGTGATCCAACAACCAAGAACAGGGTGGCCAACCAGCGGTGGGGCGTCTCTATTTCAGGCATTCTGAGTTTGAGCGGACTGAGGCTCATCAACATGCTCAAGAAGGCTCACATCCTACCGGAATGGAGAGGGCAAACGTGCCCAAGATGTGGGAAGCGAAAGATGGGGGCTTTGCAGTACATGAAGACCCATAAGGTCTGGGCTCATCGATGCAACTACCGGGAGTGCCACAAGTTCCTACAGCCGCACGATTTCCATCCAATCTTCTACATGGGCGCCGGCAGTTCTCACACGCCACTCCAGGTTCAGGCTTCTATTCTTCTTTGCGCTACCGCCGGAGTGAAGGAGACAGCTACCCACTTGGTGCTCGATGTTGCTAAGAAGCCCGTAGAGACAATCTACACTAATCTCGAGGTTGCCAGGAGTCGCTACGTTGAGGCCAAGGAAAAGGAGATCTCATATGGAGGTTGGCGGGACGTGGAAGTGGACGAGGTGGACGTGGGCAGGTTCGTTGATCTCTCAATCCGGGATACCAAGAACACCTCGTGGGAACAGTGGGGAGGAATGGTGGAGCGTGGGAATGCCTCTTCATTGCGTTTGTTCCGGCTGAACCCCTCTAAGACTAAGAAGAATGCTCCCGGCCCTGGGCCGATCAAGAAACGAGATTGGGTTCCCATAGCTAAGAAGTATTTGAAAAACAAGAACGTGGTGCTCCACTCGGACGGGGCGCGCGCTTACAAGATGACCTTCCCCGGCGTCATTCATTGCAACGTGGTACATAAGAAGAAGAAGCAAATGGTGAATGGCAAGGCTGAGTACACAACATTTTTGTTTATGTTCAATTAATACATAGTGGTTACATAATGTATATTATAAATAAGCTGTAGTACTTATAATACTTGAAAGGCAGTATGGGTACGACCGCACTTTACCAAGAACTACACGGTTGATATACCCGGCCAGGGCAAGGTCACAGTGAAGAGCGGGACGCAAATTATAGACAGGTTTTGGGGACTTCTGAAAAGCCACTTGAAGTATGTCTCGCGTATTCCTGGCAACAAAGCCCTCAGCAGGAAAATTAGAAGTGCTCAGTTCGAGTACTGGTATAGACGCCAGAACCTATGGACCGTTACTGGTTCCATGCTTAGGTTTCTGCATCAGAACCGCTAGATGGTGTCCAGAGCTCAGACATCCAAATTTTGATGTGCGTAGCTAGCACTTTACGAGACGGCATGAATGAAAACATTGCTGGCCTCATCATTGCACACACATTATGTACTTATGCTCGTGTGTGTATGTGGCTTGCATTTCCAAATTTGAACGAGTTATGATTTGCACCGCAGCATTCTGCTCCTTGCGCATCCAGTAAGTTAGTAGTAGTTGTCCAGTTGTCTTCATGGCCTGGTTGTGGCTTCTGGAGCCAGGGTGGCGGCTACCCAATGAAGCAGTGGAACTAGTGATGGAGTACTCAGCTCCAACACACGCGAGCGATCTCGTAACTATACCGACTGCACCGAACTATCGGGAGCGGCTCGTTGGTGTCCTCTCCTCCGGTCTTCCATATGCAGTAATAAGTTTAACAAGTAAATTTTAAGTCGTACTTACTATTAAGATAAACTCACAAATGAACAAAACTATTCATTATGTGGTGCGAAAGAAACCAAGGTTACAAGGTCTACATTGCGAACGGGCAGCTATACAAGCAGGATGTTACTGAGAGACTCCTTCGCTTGGCTGAGTGGCGGGAACTTAAGTATGCCATTATCAGAACAAGAGCCATTCTTTAAATGAACTACATGTCTCACTTCCACTGGGCCACATTTAGCTCACGAGTATTAATACTGTAGCCTGAAATTTGCTAGAACTGTGGCCAACAGTGATGAGTGCTAGTCTCCAATCGAGAGCATGGAAACATGCAGTTATGCACTCACTGGAACTGAACCCGCCTTTTGGAAAAATGACTGATTACTTCATGTGCATTCAGAGGCTTCTATTGAAGTTGGTCTGTGCCACCCACATGCAGAGACTAGGACCACAAACGGATTCCGTTTTGTGATTTTAGGGGTTTAAATACATCCATATCACGCATAACATGTAGATCATGAATGTAAGAAAAAGGGCAGAAATACCGTAAATAGCAGTGTTTTTTGCTAAGTATGACATGCATTCAAGACTCCTTGGATAAGAGAAAGAGAACAGGAAGAAACATAGACGTGGATCATGGGGGGGGGGGGTG